AGCGAACAAGAGCCAGGCGTTTACTAATTTCATAAAGCCAAATTAAATAAAAATGCCAGAAATGCCGCACAACAGTGCGGTACGCTTATTGTGCCCAAGTAAAGGGATATCATTTGAGCGCAGGGCAAAAATGAATTTATCTCGCATTCAACTTGCTTCTGCCACATTTTTGGCAACATCTTCAAAAGGCACCAGCACCACGCGATGGCAAATGTCTGGGAAATCTTCAAAGAGCAGCGTCACTTCCGGTCGCCACGAATATATATATGTATATGTATATATGTATATGGCAGACAATGTCAAGTGACAATGAATGCTGTAGTTATAATTTGGCGATAAAGAAAATGTAAAAGTTAGAAATTTAAGGCCCGACTTACTGCGAAGCCAAGTCAAGGCTGCTTTTATGACAAACATTAAAGTGTAGATTGCACACTGAGCTAAGGCATTTGGTGAAAATGAGTTACTTGGCCCCGGCGACGGGTCGTATACGCAATGTCTGCGCTGCGCTGGAGTACCTCAATTATGATGATTGATGAATATAAACGCTGATGAATATAAAGCTCAAGTTGCTCAGCTCGGGCCGGTTGGCATGCGAAATAAAAAAATGGGAATTTCGCAAATGAATTGTCAAGTATGCTGCTGCCGCATTGGATGCGCGGCATTTGCGAAAGGCCGCAAAGTATGCAGCGCGTGGCGAGTTGGCCGGAAAGGTGAGCTGGCTTTTCAAAGGCTTACCCAGCGGCCAAATATGCTAGAGGAATTTCAAAATTACTTTGAGCCGAGCAAACAACAAAGAAGAATGTAAGCGGATGCAACAACAACAACAACAACAGAAACACAATAAAAAAAACTGAATATTTATAACACGACGTGCCATTAAATGTCAATGTATTTTTAATTATGCACCCAGATGATGCCAAGTATAAAGAAACCGATTTTTTTAGCCTGGCTTTTTGCCCAGCAACGCTTTCAATTATGCGGCAGCAATTTTCACTTCGTTACCGCCTGTCAAAAACTTTAAGCGCCTTGCTTTGCCTTTATTTTGTATTTTATTTTATTTTGCATTTCGTTTTGTGCTCCGAATGAGCGTAATTAAAATTGACCCTTTGGGACTGACCCAGTCCCCCCAGACCCGCCCCCAAAAGAGAGCGAGAGTAACAACGAACAACTTTTACATAATTATCAGCGATGAGCGAGTTGCAGAAGCTGCACAAATCTGGTCTGTGCCATACCTTATATGCCGAGCTCATGTGCTTAATCATATCTTTTATTTTTTAGCTGCCATTCAGTCAATGATACAACCGAGATTCAGTCAAAAAGGGTCGCGCTTAGTCGCTACGCTGTTCATTTAATTTGTGAAGTTTTTATTTTTCTGATTTCTCGAGAGTATTCCATTTAGTCGGAACAACAACAGAGCCCAGTCCCAAAGCACGAACCAGCTCTTGCCGGACAAATCAGATTTGAAAGTTTTGTGCCCCTTGCACAACAAATTAAAACTGCCAGCGAAATTTATTTACGCAATGCATTTGAGAATGAAATGCAATTAAGTGGCACACATGTTCAACTTTCCACTCTTAATGAATGTTAATTAAGCTCTCTCGCTTTCTCTCTCTCTCTCTCATTTAAGGCCAGATTTGTTGTTGTTCAAATAAAATGTAAATTAAAAGTTATCAGTGCCGAGTGCTCGCCGAGTATTTAACCAACAGCAGCAAATGCAATTACTTGGCCATCAGTCAAAGGGCTGCTTGCTACTAAACTTAAACTGCGCCCGGCCACAATTCCCGAGACCACGCCCGTGGAATTTATCTATACGCAAGTTGACATTCTTTTTTTTTTTTGTTTTTTGTTTTTTTTTTTTTGAGTGCATATTAAATTGCGATGAAATGGCCCACAGAACGGGGCCGACGACACTTCATGTAATTTATTTGGCCCAAAGGCACAGCCGGTCCCTCTGCAGCGCCTGCCCCTCAGCCAGTTCCTGTCCTGGCCTGGCCTGCTCGGTCAGGGGCATGTTAAAAGCAAAAACGAAGCAGAACGTCGACGATGACGATGAGGCGGCAAATGCGTTAAGACGATTTTATGTAAATGTTTTTCGTGCTCATGTTTTAAGTGTGTTTGCCCCGCCGATCCGGCAGAAGAACAAAAAAAAATGAAAAAAGGCAACGGGCGCCCCAACATCAACAGCAAAGGATGTCACAGGTTTCGGCTGCCTTCATTGTGTCTGTTCATTTGGAATTTTATTTAAAATGGATTATGCCGCCTGCGAAAAAAGCACAAAAACAAAGCAAACGCACAAAGAGCATTTAATACTCTTGAAAAATACATCACAAAAGAATATGTTCAACGAAATTACATTAAACAAACATAATAAATGTAATCAAAATTAAATGACATCATTTGCTCTGTTTCGGTACGTTAACTATTTGCATCTCTAAGGAATTTCTCACGTCCTCACAACTACAATAAAGTTGTACTTGTTTTTAGGTACACTATGTTACCAATAGATATAGCTATATAGATTGTGAAATATATTTTTATACCCTGAACCCATTAAAAATGGGTATAAGGGTATATTGTATTTGTGCAAAATCCAAATGTATGTAACAGGCAGAAGGAAGCATCTCCGAACCCATAAAGTATATATATTCTTGATCAGCATCAATAGCCGATTCGATCTAGCCATGTTCGTCTGTCTGTCCGTCCGTCCGTCCGTCTGTCCGTTTGTATGAACGCAAGGATCTCAGAACCTATAAGAGCTAGAGACTTGAAATTAGATGTAGGTGCTCCTAGTTCCCGCGCAGATCGAGTTTGTTTCCAATAAGAGATAACTTACTCCGTTTCCAAGCAATCGATAAGAATCGATATCGATATCCTGTTTTTTGGGCAATTTCGGTAAATAATAAGAGCTAGAGTCACCAAACTTGACATATAGCTTGTGATATATGGCTAAAACTCTGCCTTTTATGCAATATGATTATTCCGTACATATTCAATTTTACTGCTCATGATATTTTTTTGGAATCGATTGCGCTTTATTAATCGCTGCTTTGTTTCAGTCATTTCTCTCTTTCCCACTTACTTTAATTCCTAAGCCTCATATCAGCCAAACGTGTCCTGGAATTTCATTATATTCGTGCTCTGATTAATACGCGCTAAGTAAATCCTCATGTTCTTAATGCTGACTCAGTTAGATTTCTCATTTCTCGTTTCATTTCATGTGTGCGTCTTATATTAATTAATTGGAATAAAGTAATTCGATAGCCCGCGTAAAGGACTGCATGGATTTTCATGCGCCACGAACAAGGATAACCCCTCCTTTTAGTGTGTATCAAATTCACAAATGGATTTGAATTAAAGATTTCCTTAGTTCGAGTATTAAATGGCAATTTTGGTGAACCTTTTAAGGTGCAACAAATTCAATTTACATTCTGGCCGGCAAACTTCTGCGACTTTAAGAACGGCGCTTTTTTTTGTTGAATTTAATGAAAAGCGAAATTGTTATTTGATTTCACAGCAGCGGCTGCACTTGTGCGCCCATAAATCTCCATATGGCGGCCGGGTCTCATGTGTGCGGCTGCCTCTTGCCGGGCAATTATTTAACACTTGCCGCCTTCTTTTCGCTACTGCTGAGTCCTGCTGGAGCTGAGCGCTGGGTGCTGAGTAAATCAATATGCGTCTTGTGGAGCAGAGTTTAGGGCAAATAACGCGTTAAATTCAATGGCTAAATTTCATTTGATTGTGAAATCGGGCGAGCCGACGCGACGTCTGGCGGAACCGTTGATCCGTTGACTTGAGCCCCCGCGCTTCCACCCTCCCATCGACTTCATAACTCATTCATTTATTAACCGTTTCCTGCTCCGGCAGTGTATCGAACCAACAAAGGCGCCAGCCGATGGAAAATCGTTGACAATGCCAGCTGGCGTGATAAGCCATTCATTACGATTATTACGGTGGAGCATGTGTGTGTGCGTGTGTGGGAGTGTTGTGTGTGTATGTGTGTGTGGGGGTGTGGCATGTGTGGCGGCAATAGGTCGAACGGCTCGGTTTGGTTCGGCATCGTTCCGCTGATGCCGCCAGGCCGAGCTGGCAAATAAAAAATATTGCTGATAGGAGTAAAAATTTTCATACCCATTTCTTTTTATTTACTGCGCGCAATTTGCACACATAAATGCTCTGGAAAAAAGCAAAAAGACGCAGCACATTTTGCCGTGTTATGCGAAAGGGTTTCACTCCAAATCTCTGACATCGACACATGCGAAAATATCGCAAAAATTATGCGCGACTATAAAAGCAGGGCGCGCACGGCAATGGCGATGGCGTCAATGTCGATGGCATTGTCAATATTTAAGTTTTGACATTGTTATGACAGGGGCAGCAACAACAACAACAACAACAACAAGAGCAATAATAATGCCCACGCTTGTCGTTTATAGGTGTTGGGCGTGGCAGGGGGCTGCGCATGTAGGGTTAATTTATGGTGTTCATGTATGCAAATGTTGTCATAAATGTCAAAAATATTTCGGGATTTTCGTACAAGAATTATGTGCACTCTTGTGTTCGATGAGCAAGCGAGAAAATCTGCTGGACCGTCTGGGTGCTTAATACCATCATTAAGCAGAACAAACCGTCTTTAATTGGGGATCTCACAGCAGGCAGCTCGGCCAGCCGTAAATTGCTGGCAGTCGCCCAAAGAGAAGCCGCCTGGCGCCGGCGTCTGGTTAAAAGTGACTGATGTGGCATGAACAAAATTAAGAGTTGAATTCATAAAGCACAATCGTGCTGGAGTGGTAAATCAGCAGGGCTAGGCAAATGCCAAGCGGCCAATGGGACAGCGGAGCGTATACGCAATTTGTTTTATTTGTCTCGCCCCAAGTTTTCATAAGACTGGGAGTAGCGGAGGGGGGGACGAACGTGCATTTTCGCTTTAATTTGCGATTTTCCGCTTGTTTTGCCAATTAGGCGCCAGTTGACTTTTGCAGAGTTTGCGACAACCGACAACGCTTTGCGCGTTTTTGCAATAAATTAACTGCTCAACACTTTGGCTGACCAGCTCGCAACCGAAGATGGAAATCGTCTTAAAATTGTTTGACTTTGCAAGAGATTTGAAATTCATAAGACTTTGAACCAAGAGTTTATTATATTTTTACTCCCACAATCTATTAAAAATGGCTTAAAAAGTGTATAATGTTTTTCTGCGAAGCCAGAAGGATACATCTCCCCGACCCCGGACGAACGGCTGAGTCGATCCAACCATGTCCTTCAGTTGCGCAAACTACAAATGCTTGAAATTGGAGATATGTAAATATTTTGCGTACCTTTTTATTTCGATAGCGTCTGATTTCAAGAATCTCGATAAATATCGATATTGAAACTAGATACCATGCAGTGTTTGCCTTTCTCCTGTCGGATCTGTTTATACCCTGTACCCCTTGTAATTGGGCCTAAAGAGTATATTAGTTTTGTGCAAAGGTATGTAACATTTTTACGATGTTATCATGATATTTTAATTGAAAATATAAAGCTGTATACACCAAATGGTGGCACAAAATATTATTTTAACTTTGCTTTTGCTTCTCCCTTTTCTACTTCAGCTAACCCTTTTCAGTGCATTATATATAGGGTATTTAATGGTCGTGCAATTGTTTTATTTCATTGATTTTTTCTTTGATAATATTTTGTCTCATTTGCTTGCCAACTTTAATTTACTTTGCCCTACGCCCAGCGTGACAAAATGTGCGAGCGCGAACTCATAAATTTCAAATCTGTTTCAATTTTCATTGGCCTTATTTAGCTTCGTTTTTGTTGTTGTTGTTGTTGTTGTTGCTGTCGTAAGCTTGTTTATTTTGCCTGCCAAGTGAAAGTTAATACGCGTGCGAATTTTTCAGGCGCCTTGAGCACGTGGCCAACAAAATCGGGCAACAGCCACGACACCAAAAAAATATGTAGCTAAACTTTTGCCAAAGAAATTATTCCTGATACGAGATGACATCAGCGCATATTAAATTGCATTCCCTGTGTGCATGAGCTTGAGTGTACTTTAATGTGTGTGTGTGTGTTTGCTTGTGTGTGTGTGTGCGTGTGTGTGTGCGTGGCAAGGTTTCCAACCAAACTCGAGTACCTAGTGCGATAAGAATAACAACAAAAGAGAAACCTAACACTAGAGGAATAATTTATCCGGTAAATGGGTCTTGGGCTAGGAAAACGATATAATAGTCCGATCAAGATTAAAATCTATGTAAAATAATATTAGAAAATATAATTCAAAATGCAATTTTTAATAGAACACCTCAGTTTGTGACGGATTTATTGTTTATACAACAACTCTTGTATAGAGCTATCTTTTTTTTTGGATTAAAATTCTTTTATTTATAGCTGATATGCTTAGCAACTTTTATCAGCGTGAGGATCGGGGGTTCATAGAAAAATTAACTATGGTTAAATATAATTTAAATATGTATTTACATTGTATAGCATGTTTATGTACGTGTTTATTTTGCTTTGTTAAAGGCGCCGTTTGGCCAGATCTATAGGATAGGTCTTTTTAAGCCTTCTTCTTCCTCGCCTCCTTAGCAGGCTCCTTGCCAGGAGCAGCTGCTCGCCTTTCGTATGTTACATAGGACACGACAAAACCGATATGCCCTCTGCCAGCGTATAATGACTAACTGCCTCGAAGAGTTGGCGTCTTGTCTGCGCAAAAGGACTCAAGGCTAGGGCTGGGTAGGAATGCCGTTTTCCTACGGGCTGCAGCAGTTAAAGGAATGCAATAAAAAAGTTTTCAGACAGCCACGGGGCATGCAATGCGAATTTTTGAAGCAATAAACGAGAGTCTTTAACTTGGCGAATCTCTCGGGAATCTGCTGTAGATATTAAAAAGCATGCACGCTAAGCTGCCGGCTAGAAAACAGGCGGGACTTCCTCCCGCGCATGTGAAGCTGTGTTGGGGGAAACCCAAACAATTGACTGACTGCGGTGCACCAACAAATTCTGACACTAATCCGAGCTTAAAAACTTTGCTTTATTTTAATCAAATTGAGGAAGTGGGGAGCGCAGCATCCCGACGAGAACGAGCCAGCCGAAAGGAGGAGAAGCCACTGGCGAAATGCGCAACTTTCACGACACAGCTGCAAAATGGCAGCGGGAAGGGGACTACAAATGAAATTTAAGTTGTGACGTCGACACGAAAGGAAAAAAGTAGGGGAAGAACCGCAAATTGTACACGCTACGTACGTTTGCCAGGTGGGGCACTTGGCAGAACAATGCCACAGAGTGGCAATAAAGGGCCAAAAGCAGCCGGAAAGAATTGCTCAGTAATTTAATTTAAGCATACGGATTGCTCGACTTGGCCAAAACGGGAAGCGTCAGTTAGTGGCGCGTGCTCCATAAGCCCAAATGTCAATATTTGCCTATGCCACGCATTAAATGCGCCAAAGCATGTGCCCCAAAATATGTGTCTGGCATGTGTGTGTGTGTGTGTGTGTGTTGGGCTCTGCTCAACGGACGTTTAAAATATGTTTTCTTGACGCCCCCTTTTTGGCCATGCAGCTGCATATCTATGGCCAGAACTCCCGGCGAGAGCGGAAATTAGCAAACGATTTTAGCTGCGGAACATGGAGGCCGCATGGAAATTTTGGCAACGAGACAACGCGACGTATGCGTGTTATTTGATTTTCTTGATTTTTTGCACACACATTCCATTTTGTTTTTTTTTTCTTAACAATTTCCTGTTATAAACAAATCAAGGATGTAATAACGCAGCTCAATGCGCGCACTTTGAGTCAAAATGTGGGAGCTCTGCGCCCCGCCCACAATGTGATTGAAAATAAATGCCAATGATTATGATCTTAAGAGCTGTCGCAGTCGGTAATAGACGAGAAAATGCTGCATAGTGTATCCTTTCCAGCTAGGCAAAAGCCCAACGGCTGCGCCCATTAGTTCAGTTTTTTTTTTTTTTTTGAAAGGGCTTCGCTACGAAAAATGTAGAAAAATATTGTGAATGGAGAGAAAAGGCTATCACACACACACACACACGCGCTCGCAACTTGGGACGCAGTTTGATGGCATGTAAAAGTACGGCAAGAATAACAACAAGGACAGACTTAAAGCAAAGCCAGTCAAGTGTATGAAATGTAACAAAGACCTAAAGCAAAATTACAAACAAACACACACGCACACACACTCGAATGCCACTCACACGTACTGAAAAAAAAATAATGAGAAAATATCAAAAGTGTGTGCCCGTCCACTTTTGATATTTTGTGCTCAGCCCCGCGGGGCTGAATGTCAACTTAAAGCCCTTGCACAACTGGCGCTGGCTAACCAGCCGTGGCCGAGGCCTGGTTGGCTGCTTGGCTGGTTGGCTTTCCACTTGGTTTTGTTTTCTTTAAAGTACCCTAGCCGGCGCAATACCGACGCTAATGAGCTACTTAGGCGATGACTTAAGTCATTATTGTGTGTGCGTGTGCGTTTGCACATCGTGACATTACACATACGCAACGTTGCTTTGGCCACAATTTGTGGCAAATTTTCAGCTGACAAGAACTGCTCACAGAAAAGCTGCCATTCTTGCCAATGCCACCAAGAATTGTCTGCTGTTTCGCAGCACTTAAAAGGACAGACAGTCTTAAAGTGCAGCCTGTCCTGCTTCTGCTTCTGCTTCTGCTTCAGTTTCTGCCGTTGTCCTGTGCGGTCCATTGTGGTTTCTTCTGCCCAAATATGGCATATAATATTCGATTAATATTTCAATAAGTGCTTGTGTAAAGGCTTACAATAATCAGGGTCCTTTTGTGGAAAATAAGCTGCTTGGGATCATTCACTTTGTTTGCATATTGCAGTAAATTGTCTGCTTGAGCGCAATTTTTTCGGGCATTAAATTCGTCAAATTGGCCCGTGGCTAAATTGCAATCATTAGCCAGTCGACGAACAATGGCTGCTGATTTACAGGGGCCAAGAAGCGCCGCGGGATTCATTAGGCCAGCGACAACCCAAAAATAACACAGCAGCCGGATGGGGTCACACACACGTACACTCGCGCACACACAGGCAGGCTGACAGACACATGCGTAATTACCAACACCTCATTAGACAAATGCTGAAACTTTGCTTTAATCAGCAGCCGCCAATTCAGAGTGAAAACTTTCAACAGTTGCCCCATCAGAGCTGGCTGCCAATTTAATGTGTCTATCACAATGTTTACACAGGCCAAACACGACTACAAAAGCCGATTGGCCCTCCAGGGGGAAAAGGGGGCATGGAGATAGTTTGTCAGCTGGCAAAGACCTTTCAGCTGACAGTCAAAATCATCGACATAATTCTCTAAAATGTGATTTTATTAATTAAATGCGACAGGCGAGTGTCACACCAGCGACAGGCACAGGGCGTGGCTTCCAGTTGCCGCCTAGTTGCCCACTCGCCGCTTTTCTCTTGCGGCTTGCGTTGCGGTTCAATGTGCTGCGAATGCCAACGCCGTCGACTGCGCACAACAATTTTAAACATGTCAACATGGTGTCATAATTAAAATGTTCAGCCAGGCCATGCCTCTGTGTGTGTGTGTGTGTGTGCGAGTGTGTGTGTGTGTATTTGTAGTTGCCTGTGCGCTGTTCGATTCGCTTGCAAATTGGAGCCTTAAATTCGCGACCCCACACGGGATCCACGCCCGGAGGCGTTGCCTTTGTAAATGTCGACGCTATTGTTTGCCTTTACGTTGGGCGGCATTTTTAATGATGGGGCTGCGTCGGGATCGGGATCGGGGTCGGGGTCGGGGTCGTTGCATGAGCCATGGGACCGGCCCTGCTCCTCCTCCGGGTACTGGAAATTCTGGCATTCTGGTGCGGTGGGGTCACTTCGGGCTGCCGGTTAGCTGATTGGTTTTGCGATTGGTGCTCAGCCGCATTTTGGGAGCCATTTGTTCAGAGGTTATAACGACTATGCTGCTAATTGCTCTCCACTCTCTCTTGTGAATGTCATGCCTGGGGATATTACATTTAGAAGCATAATAAGTTGAGTTGAGTTGAGTTGGTTGAAAAAATAAAAGCAACGATTCGAGAACAGCTCAAGCCTATATATTAGAATTATTTAAAAAAAAGGGGGCTTAGAAAGGGGAAGGGGCAACAATTTAGAATATTTTGTATAAGGCAAATATAATTTAAACATATAAATGAATATGCAAATATAGTTTGATCAGATCATAGATGCCAGCGCAGGAATACAAATATATTCCATATCTTCCACAGTTTTATAAATAACATCAATTATTTTGATTTACTAGACATAGTTAAAATAATTAATATACTAGATGATCTATTAATCTTGCTATACTGTTGATCTATTCGAAAGATGATTTCGTATAAATTCAGATGTCTCCTGCCAAATACTTTATTATGGTACTGAAAACAGAGACAACTTTCGGACTGCGTTCATATTCGACTTAATACACATTTCAAGTAAAATACAGAAACGCCTCCTATTTTAAGTTATTCGTATATTTAAAGCGCTCCTTAAAATACATTTAAGTTATTTTTAATGTTATTATTTGCAGCTAGAGATGTTTATTTATTTGTAGACTTTAAAGCAAGTCGTTAAAGTTTCTGTTAGAATATCTATTTGTCTTAATTTAGCCCATTTCCCTTGTTTTATAAACACTATTTTGGATACTTTTACTGCTAAAGTGCTGTGGCTCTTAAATTTACAGCATGTTTGGCAGCAAATAAAAAAAAATATATATATATATATATGTGGAGAAAAACTGTTAGCCAAGTGACCTACTGGCCAGCAGTTGGCTGCACGTTATCCTGACCACTTAGTCTTGATTAATGTGTCGCATTTTCCGGCAGAGCCTCAGAGCCTGGTGCCCGGCTCATGCACCCGTAAATAACAGAGCCCCGCTCTCCGCCGACACCCGCTCTCCGCTCCTCCTAGAAAATGGGTTGGCTTTATTGTCTCAAGGTTAATTTGTATGGGAAAACTTACGCAACCATTCCGAACTATTATTACTTTTCTGTTTGATGTACTTCTCTTTATTTTAATATGTGTTATTTATTTTTCTTCTTTTTTGTTTTTTTGCCAAACGTCGCGCATGAAAAATTAATCAAAACCCTGTAGATGTTGCGTTTCAGGATATTCGCAAATTTCGCGGCAAACTGGCGACTGCCGCTGCATTTATAATGGATGCAATAAATATTTCTGCAGTTTATCTCGACAAAGGGCGGCATATGTGAGTATGTGTGTGCGAGTGTGTGTGTAAAATCAATTTTACTTAAAGCACCTGTAGCCCGTTTAGAGTTTAAAAACTTTCTGTTGTAATTGAGCATCGCTTTAGGTTACAAACTTGAATTCTTTTGCACAGCGGCTGCCGCAGCCGTCACTCAATCATTTACGGACACATTGATTGAATGCCACGCCCTGCAGCTCAGCTGTGTCCGTGTGTGTGTGTGTGTGTGTGTGTCTTTGTGTGTGCTTGACCTGCCACCGACCCGCGTCCCGCGTGCCGCTTCTCCCTGATGAATACTCCCAAGTTTGTGGTAAAATTTAAAGCATTTTTGAAAGTGAGTAGCGACAACATGAACTCGGGAAAATTTGCCTTGTGGCTGTCAAGGAATCTCTCCTGTGAATTTTCCAGCTAGCTTGTTCGCATTCATAATGTGGGCAAGTATGCGCGTGCGTGTGTGTGTGCGTGTGTGTGTGTGTGGCAACGAAAATGTAAATGCTTGCAAGCATTTACACTGGAGACAAGGACTGGCAGAGACAGGGACCCGCATGATAACACGCATATCTTGATGGGTTATTGCCTAGTTTTTGGGACTGCCTCGAAGCGAGCCATTCACATGAATCAGTGGGCGGCAGCCAAATTAGAAACAGACACACACACAGGCACACACATACTGTTACAGAGGGTAAAGTAAAAGTCATATGCATAAATATTTGTGGGCTTAGTCGGGCCCTGACTTTACGACGCGCCAAGGCATTTGCCCAGAGAATCCAATAACAATGCGCATCCAAATGGCCCGACAATTGTGCTAGCCCCACGATAAATTTGCATGTTGTGCTAGTGTGTGTGTGTGAGTGTGCGTGTGTGTGTTGTGCATTTGCATAGATTCCGCGTGGAAGCGGTTTATTGTTTGCAAATACGTAAATTGGCGAGTGGCATGCCGTCAATTGCCGGCAATTGGCATCAATTTCACAAGTTTCTCAAGTGCAACACACTTACCTCGCACTTTGGCAGCGGACCCTCGGGCATCTTGACCTTCCAGCCGAGCAGCGGCGGAATGCATATCAGTGCCGACATAATCCACACCGCGGTGATCATGACAGCGGCACGGGCGGGTGTGCGCGATTTCAGATAGTCAACGGCCTTGGTGATGCTCCAGTAGCGATCCAGCGAGATGAGGCACAGATTCATAATGGACGCGGTGCAGAGCAGCACGTCCATGGCCGAGTGTATGTCACACCACCAGCTGCCGAAGATCCAGTAGCCCATCAGCTCGTTGGCCAGCGAGAAGGGCATTATGATGAGCCCCAGAAAGAAGTCGGCCACGGCCAGCGATGCAATGAACCAATTCTGTATGTTCTTCAGCGACTTCTCCGTGGCAATGGCAATGATCACCAGCATATTGCCCACCACAATGATGATCATCAGTATGGTCACAATGATCGAGGCGATCACAATGTGCGTCAGCGTATATCCGCTCGGATACCTGCCATCCCAGTGCAGCTCCGTCGCATTGCTGCCGTTGCCCAGCAGACCCAGGCTCAGATTGGCCGGCGTCTGATTGTAATAGCTGCCCGCCAGCTGCAGGCTGCTGTTGTACAAGCTGCCGTTCAGCAGATAGATCGTGTCATTCACTGACGGCGTCAGGTCGAGCAGCCCGTCGACGGTCACCAGCGGCGGATTGAGTGTGCCACCTGGTTGTCCATTTGGCAGCGGCGATGTTGTTGTTGTTGTGGTTGGGACAGCGCTTGTGAATACCGCCAGAAAGTCATCGGTGCTTATGTTGCCCGTATTGATGATCGGGTCCACCTTGGCGTAGTCCATGTTGTTGCTGTGTCTATCTCTGTCTAGCGTCGGATTGGTCCCATGCTGGCGCTGCCCGCCTCGCTTGGTTATATATATATAAATATATCGAATATATATTTACAATTAAATTAGAAAATGCGGCCGTCTATTTTGCAATTCGTTTGCGCGCGTTTAGTATTTATTGCTCTAACACCCAATTAATTCTAATAATTTATCTAATGCCTAGCATAGTTTTGTGATTCGTAATAATTCGATTATGTTTTTACCCGTTTTGCACCGAAACTTGTGTGTTTGTGGCTCGCGCGACTTTTGATTAATATACTTTTAATTATTTAAGATTTAACTTATTTTGTTTTTGGGATTATTGTGCACAGACACGGATACAGATACAAATACAGATAGAGAGAATCACACAGACAGATGAAACGAATACAATGGAAAAAGATTGCCCGCGTTAATATTGACTATATACAATAGGGACTCATCGCCTGGGCGGCACCAGAACCCCACGCTCGATATCGCGATCTCGATCTCGATCTCGTTCCCATTGATCGGCCCGATCACATTGCGCTAACGCCTCGCTTTAGCCGCACCATTCCACGAACTGGCGGTATTTTTGCTTTGTTTTTATTTGCTTTGGTATTTGCACTTGATCAACAGTCTGAATATCTTTGCTAATGAAATGTATCTTTGGTTCGTGTCTCTGTTTGTTTATTTACAAAAATTTCTAGACAGCTAGCTAGCTCGACTCGCGCGCCTCACTAAGTACACTCAATCGGGCGTGGGCATTTCTTGACTCGTTTTGGCGCTGCCTTGGCTCTAAATAAATGTGTTTGCTTCTTTTGATTTCCCTTTTTTTTTGGCTATTGGTCCAGCTGACGCGCCCGCGACACGTTCGCACCGCTGGAAATGCACATCTTAACTGAATGGCCCAAACACTTGCTACCAAAATTGTCTTCCACACACGCAGCTTCTGCTGCTGCTGCTGCTTGCTTCGGCTTTGGCATCGGCATCGGCATCGGGCGCCTGCTTCGTGTTCTACGCTCTTCGGCATGTTTCACTCGTAGGGAAATTCGCTCGCAGGGAAATTATCTCTTGCTTCTATGTGTTTCATTTTCAATGCGTTTCAACTGAGTTTGTTTTCGTTGAGTGCGTGTGCGTGTGTGTGTGTGTGTGTGTGTGTGTGTGTGTGTGTGTGTGTGTGTGTGTGTGTGTGTGTGTGTGTGTGTGTGTGTGTGTGTGTGTGTGTGTGTGTGTGTGTGTGTGTGTGTGTGTGTGTGTGTGTGTGTGTGTGTGTGTGTGTGTGTGTATATATGTGTGTGTGTGTGTGTGTGTGTGTGTGTGTGTGTGTGTGTGTGTGTGTGTGTGTGTGTGTGTGTGTGTGTGTGTGTGTGTGTGTGTGTGTGTGTGTGTGTGTGTGTGTGTGTGTGTGTGTGTGTGTGTGTGTGTGTGTGTGTGTGTGTGTGTGTGTGAGTTTGTGTTCCCCGAACCTAAAAGTGAACCCAAACCTAAATCCAAAACCCAACCCGAATCCATTTGTTGCAGCACTTTTCACGTTTTTCATTTCGCTGTTGCACCCCAAAGGACGTGTATGTGTGTGTGTGTGTGTGTGCTTGGTACAAATGTTGGCCCCGGCCAACGAGGCCCATGTGTGCGATGCGGCCTTTTTGTTTACATTTTTTATTTCAACCCACATAGCTGGCTTTGTTTTCACGGCAAATGCTGGCCGGACTCACCTTTTAAATACTTCTCACGATTTGCACCCTGTTAAAGTTGCGCCCCAACTGTGCCAATAAAGCCATCAAAAGGCGTGCGGGCTTCTACAATACATAGGCCTTTTGCTTATATACAAAGAACTATATAGATTAAGAGTCTTATATATATATATATCTATGTAAGTATATATATATATTTATATGCCGCCGTATCACGCACATTATGCTCTATAGTCACGTAGCTGGGGCACATAATTGAAAAGCCAACTTGAGCGTATCAATCGTGCAACCAAACAGGTTGTTGCGCTATCTCCTGCTCCTGTTGTTGTTGTTGTTGTTGTTGTTGTTGTTGTTTCTGCTGTTGGTAGCAATGAAATCAGCTAGAAATTATTATGATAATGAAAAGTTGAGCGCACACTCAGCTCGCCTGGAAGCTTTTTATGAGCTGCTGCTGCTCTGCCAAGTATGCAGCATGTACGCGCTGCGTTTGAGTTATTCGAGTTATTTGATTACGTTAAGCATACGCGGTACTGCCGCCGCGCATAATTTCAAATTACACGCAGCAGAGCGGCATCAACATAATAAATCTGAAAAGGGGCCCAAGCCTGACAAACAAGCAGCGTGTGAGCTGCTTCTGCCACGGCAGCAACTTATTTGCCGTGACGGCCACACACACGCACACTCGTTCATAGTGAAGTGACAAATGCCGGAAAGACTAAGCAACTGAAAGAGCAACAACCGGCAGACACTCAGCGTCAATGCCTGACAGAAGATTACTTGTCAAGCGCTGATTATATTAACTGCCTATGAAAGTAAGGCACAAACACATGCATGCATACATGGCATACATGTTTGTGCAAAGCCAATCAATGACACACAGACATGCACAACATGCGACCACACAGCCTGGCAGCATCAAATTGCGCATACGCCGCATAAACCTAACCCAACGGGTTTTAACCAGTCTGACTGCATAGATAATGCGCAAATCTCTCAAATGCGCTTACATTAAATCATAGACATACATAAATGTGTGCATGCGTATGCGTACGCATGCCATATATGTGCGTATGTGTGCATGTGTGCATGCGTATGCGTACGCATGCTGTTGCATGTCGCGCTGCAGCTGCAGCACGCACATTGCAGCCGCTAATGGGAACTGCGTCTTTCCGTCTTAGGGCAACGTCTGCACTGGGCTAAATCTGATTTTAATTCGCCGCACGTTTTGCATAATGAAATAGGATTTGTGGGTTCACGTAAACTGCAGCTAAAAACGGGGCGTGGCCTTAAATGCGACCAGCTCCTACGAGCGTCACATAATTTGAGCACTCCGGCAAAAGCATTTCTTTTTTCTTAGTTTTTCGAACAAAATTTAACGGCTTAGCTGGGAATAAAAGCTGCTAGCTCGCGCCAAGCTTTGTGGACTGCCGGCACGGGCAGCCGAACGCAAAAACATTTTCAGCACGCGGGTTCAGTTGAAAAATGCGCAAATGCAACTCGCTAATGGCTGCGAATATTTTATGTGCGCTTATCATTCGCATTAGCTTGAAAATTGTTGCTAAAAGCTTACCGTGAGCCAGGGTACTGCTGCGCTACTTTCTGCCATGGCGTTAAACTGGGTCCGGAAATTGCGTTACTCATACGCACCGTGGCGCCGCTCGATGCATTATCTTAATTTAAAAGCGCGTTACAAACAGAGGAGCACTGCATTGGACAGGCTGGCAGGCTGGCTGGCAGGCAGGTAGCTCATGAGCCATGTTTTAGTTTTATTAACTTGGCTGAAAACTCATTTATCAAGCTGTCAGCGGCAATTATTTATGCCCCCGCCGCCCCTGGACTCAGCGCACAGTGCTGTTCATGTGCAGGCGCAACGCAGACAATTATAGAAAATTATCAGCAACAACAAAGGCATCTCGATTTTCCCTGTGACTGTGCCTTTAACTTAAAACAACAATCAATTGAACTTAAATGCGTAACAAAATCGAATTAATGCCCAGCCTTAGCGAGCCGATAACTTCGCGACTCGCAAGTCGCGATGCCATGTAAAGTTTTAATCTCTTGACGTGGCCTTTGCCTTTGCCGAGCTTTCTGATTGTGAACTGCCGTCGGGCCATTAGTCCGGCAATTAGGCCAAGGCAGCGCGGGCAACACGTGCGCTCAATTGTATATTGGCGATCTCTTTTGAGTAGCAAGGGGCATACGGACTACATTGGGCAAACAACGGGCTGCCCATCCGGCCAACACGGCCTGTATGTGCATATGCATGTCACAAGCGCTTCGGAGCACACAACATAACAAATTAACTGCTTAGCCAGTCACGGAAACAACCACTGCTGCTATCAAGACAGGGAAATTAGCAAAGCAATTTTGAGTTCTAGAAATCTAACAAGCATAATGTATTACTAAACAAAATTGAAACACAAGTCGTCAAATAATTTTAAAGAAATAACTCGTCCTATTGACGTGAATCTCATTTTCCAACATTTATGTAAAATGTTATTTGAAATGTGACTCACGGATCGCGGAAATCTACTTCGTTGGGTGTAGATGAACATTCGATAAATCCTATGATTATTCTCTTTCTTCCCTCGCTGTCTTTTATAACTATTGCATTCCCCTTCTACGTAAATATCATCCAACAAGTGGGGAAAACGTTGGTCAAAGTTTCCATGAAAAGCCTCAAACAATCAATTTGTCTTCTGCAAACGTGATGACCTAAGGCTATATGGCGTAGTCAACTGAGCGTCAGACTAACAAACGAGAAGTTGTCGGTTCAAATTAGGCAATTGTCATTTGTTTATTTAAGAACTGCAAAGAAAGGGAAAGTAGCCGAAACGTCGGTCCACTGAGCACAAATTTTAGGGTTCACAGCAGCATATTTTATAATAGACATTTTTTTTACATCCTTGCATAGAATATTATAATTTTGTCTTGAAATGTGTAACTTTTATGAGGCACAGACTTATTCGTTTTATTACAATTTCATTATTCAATATTTTCGGTATATTTCGGTGCATATTGCGTTTCCATATTATTAATTTGACCTCGGCGACGACAGATATTTTTTGTCTATGTAAAATAATTATCAACTCGATGTGCAGAACCTGGCTCAGATTTCAGCGGACATGATATTTAAAATGTGTATACATTTGAAGTTGGCGCGAGTTACACAAACGATTTCAGCACAAGATGATTTAAACACAATTAATTTGACCTGGGGAGCCGCAGCTGTTACTTGTCCTTTTTTTATACGATGCGACGGGCAATACTAGTTCTTTCATATTTTGTTGAATTTGTTGAAAAAAAAAATTGTTTTTTTCATATGTATAGAATTGTTTTTTTTCATATGTATAGAAGCGTTAGCACAATGTCGAAAGCTTTAAACTTATGCAACAATATTTTTAAAATGGAATAAAAGAAATATTTTTATGATTACGGATTTTAAATATAGTTCGGATCAGGAGTTTATGTGTCTGATAGGCAGCAGGAAGTAGTTTTTCAGGTCATGTCTTCCTTTTT